GTTTTTATTCGCGGGTAAGAAACATTTCATTTTTATTATACTACATGAGACGAGATGTCTTAATAAAAGGCTTTCGTATAAAAATGATGAAGTTATTCCCTACGTTGGTGATTCAATGGCGCGAGATTCTGTAGATGAAACGTCACTCTTCTACTGTCCTCCAAACAAAGGAAGTGAGAGATTAGTCCCTGACATCTGGGTTTTATGTAAATTATAGCTTACACACCACATATCTACTCTTCACCTACAAGAGTTTCAGAGCCAAATTTGGTTAATTGCATCCACTGGTGTGGTCGGGCTTGTGCAACAATTAGATGCCCCACATCGGAGCCATTTATTATTTTAAACGGCATTAATATTTCAATTACACCATCTCCTCACAAGAGCAACAATTCAGTTCCACTATGGAATGAATATTAGAAATAGACTTGATGTTTACATATTTACATATAAAGGTCGCCTCTCCCGTCAAAATAGGCGCCAAAACTAGACACCATCTATTGACCATCTCCGCAAACCAGCAGACTCAGGTAGGTAACAAAGCCACAACACCAGCTTTGGTAAACTGTGAAGCGTTCACCTGGAGACCACAGTTTGGGCTAATGGCCCTCTTTAGTCTAGAGCGGGCTTTGATATCATGAGAGATTCCCAATGAATTAAATGAAATCTACACAATCTGCCAAAGAGGTGTGATTCGATCCCTTGTGAATCTCATGGAATCTGTTAAAACAGAGGTGAATAAGATGTTGAAGAGATCAAATAAATAGGTTTGATATAGTATTATGATAGACAAGATGAAGCAGGCCAACAACAACAACAACAAAGGGTCAACAAAACAAATGGAGATGCAGCGCCTCTAGTGGCGCCGGTCGGAAGTTGTCACGCCATTGTCTCCTGACGTCAGCGTTGGAAGCTACTGTGTATTTGAAGAAAGCACCCACATAGCTCAAAAATATCAAAGCCACCCTGGACTGAGGAATATCATAACCCGAAACCATGGTATCCAGATGGACGCTTCTCAGTTTGCCAAAGCTGGTGTTGTGGCTTTGTTACCGACCCGAGTCCGCTGGTTTGTGGAGACGGTTAATAGATGGCGTCTAGTTTTGACGACTATTTTGACGGGAGAGGCGTTTTATTTTTATGAATCAATTTTATCCCGGCAAAATTTCCATATACATTTACATATCTACACATGATTCTGAAAAAGGAATCTATTCCGCTAGCTCCCCGCATAGTTTGCAAATATAATATAATCGATATGATTTAATATCAAGTTTTACCGATTATATGAGGAATTCATGGTAAGTATTTGGTTTGGTGTTTACCAAAGATTGCTAAAGTAAGAAGCGCTGGACTCACACAGTAGCTGAGATTTATGCTGTTTCTCTGCGACCGATCTTCCATATTGAGATTTTTCTTCTGGATTTCATTTAGCATATTGGTGTCCAATATTCTCTCTGTAGTTGTCCCATAGAAGCAGAAAGTTTTGGAATTCTTCAAAAATTAATTTTGTTTTGTTCAATATAATGATGAAAATTTGAAACTTTTTTAAAAAACGATTTTATAACAAATAAAAAAAAAAACCTTCCTAATGTCCTGTTATTGCGATAAAAATATTAAAAGTACTTTGCTCATGAGTGTTATACTATCTTAGCGGTTTCGCCATTGTATTGTGTTTGGACTAAAGATTCTAAAATAATTGTAAAAGTAGAAACGCAATATATCAATAATATTGTATTTCTGATTGGAATATTGCGATTGTATTGTACTTCCATATCTCTCTCATTTAAGAAGACATCCTGGTGATGGTATTCAAGGTGACTACATCCACAAGCTATTTGAGAACAATACAATGTTATATATGGAATACACATATCTTCCATTATAGCAAGGACACAGTAGCATTTTTTTGTATTCCTACACACAAGGAAGAATTTGCGCTAAAAAATTTCAAATTTCAAATAGCTTTTGCCTTGTCTCTAGTTTCTATTTATTATCCCTAGTACACGTGGTACAGGCAGCCATGATAATCAAGGTGTGTAGTGTTTATACTGTTTTTACTGTAAGTGGCCCACAGGTCTACACATGTGGAAAGCTTGTCACTAGTTCTAGTAACTATATGACTGTTATAAGTGTCTATTGTATTAATGGCGGCTCTGTGTGTACTGGTTAAAACTGGAGATTGAGCAACTACGTCCGTCACGACGATGTAGGGAGTTGTGTAGACGCCGTAGACGTCTCCGTGTATGTGTGAGAGAGATATAGGAGAGAGGTTACAAGGCAGGATTTATTGAGAGATACTGTACACACACTCAGCACACATCCAGCAACAGGTCGTCCCCCGAGCTGACGTCGCTGAGGTCGGGGTGGGGATTGAGCAACTACGTCCGTCACGATGATGTAGGGAGTTGTGTAGACGTCTCCGTGTATGTGTGAGAGAGATATAGGAGAGAGGTTACAAGGCAGGATTTATTGAGAGATACTGTACACACACTCAGCACACATCCAGCAACAGGTCGTCCCCCGAGCTGACGTCGCTGAGGTCGGGGTGGGGATTGAGCAACTACGTCCGTCACGATGATGTAGGGAGTTGTGTAGACGTCTCCGTGTATGTGTGAGAGAGATATAGGAGAGAGGTTACAAGGCAGGATTTATTGAGAGATACTGTACACACACTCAGCACACATCCAGCAACAGGTCGTCCCCCGAGCTGACGTCGCTGAGGTCGGGGTGGGGATTGAGCAACTACGTCCGTCACGATGATGTAGGGAGTTGTGTAGACGTCTCCGTGTATGTGTGAGAGAGATATAGGAGAGAGGTTACAAGGCAGGATTTATTGAGAGATACTGTACACACACTCAGCACACATCCAGCAACAGGTCGTCCCCCGAGCTGACGTCGCTGAGGTCGGGGTGGGGATTGAGCAACTACGTCCGTCACGATGATGTAGGGAGTTGTGTAGACGTCTCCGTGTATGTGTGAGAGAGATATAGGAGAGAGGTTACAAGGCAGGATTTATTGAGAGATACTGTACACACACTCAGCACACATCCAGCAACAGGTCGTCCCCCGAGCTGACGTCGCTGAGGTCGGGGTGGGGATTGAGCAACTACGTCCGTCACGATGATGTAGGGAGTTGTGTAGACGTCTCCGTGTATGTGTGAGAGAGATATAGGAGAGAGGTTACAAGGCAGGATTTATTGAGAGATACTGTACACACACTCAGCACACATCCAGCAACAGGTCGTCCCCCGAGCTGACGTCGCTGAGGTCGGGGTGGGGATTGAGCAACTACGTCCGTCACGATGATGTAGGGAGTTGTGTAGACGTCTCCGTGTATGTGTGAGAGAGATATAGGAGAGAGGTTACAAGGCAGGATTTATTGAGAGATACTGTACACACACTCAGCACACATCCAGCAACAGGTCGTCCCCCGAGCTGACGTCGCTGAGGTCGGGGTGGGGATTGAGCTTTGTCGGCAGCGTCTGCTCCCGCGACCCCCCCGCTGGACAGCAGCTCGCGCTCCTTGCAGTTGCGCCACTTCATGCGCCGGTTCTGGAACCAGATCTTCACCTGCACAGCCCACACTATGACCAACTTCGCTAACACTTCTCTTATACAAGATATTTGAGCGGTCTCGGATATAGCTCCCATGTTTACTAATCCTAACCTTAACTGAATCTATACTCAACCTAACCTCGTTATAGCCTGTAAACAATATACGCTAGAAATAATTTACGTTGGTAAACATGGGAGCTAGTCCCGAGATCTCCCGGAGTTTTCTAACCTCTCTGTGCTACCGACCTAAGCTACCGCTCGGCATACAGGGAAAGATAGGGTGGAGACGGAAAAATAAGTTTGGAGATTTAATGAAGAGTCTATATATATAAACTGTGTCATATAAATAAGTAATAAAAAGGAAAGGGAAGTTTTCAGGACATTTACTCTGAGTATCATCGGGTCTATTGACTTTAGTGGAGGGATTGAGGAATGAAGGTAGACCAAGGAAGGATTGGTTCGATAATCCAATAGAATGGTATGGAATTGGTAGATAGGAATGTCTCAGTACAGGATGGTGTTCCATGATGGCTTACCTCCAGATGGCTGTACTACAAGCCGACCTGTTTGTTATTTACAATAGACGTGAATCTCCTGGTTATAATTTACAATAATGTAACATGTTTCTAGAGATGAGTTTATTTTATTATTGCATTCTCAAACTGTCGGGAATTTTCACCTTCTATAATAAAGGCCGTTTTGTACTCCTGTAGAAATGCCTGAAACCTGAGAATGCGCAATAATAAAACGAAATTTATCCCAGAAACCTGTTGCATTATTGTGATTGTTCCTTTCTTCAAACGTCGACTGCGGCCGAACGTTCATTTTCTAAGGTGTGATGACTGATACTGATGACAGTGTATTACTATAAATATACCAAACTGGTTCTTCTAATGAACTCTAGTAATTAAATGTTATTTTGCTCGTCACATTAGAAAATTAATCTCGGCCGCACTTGATTAATCATTAAAAAAATTGCCATGTTCACTAATATTTCTCTTACCACAGGTAACCTATTTTTTAAAGATTTTGCGGTATCTAAAGGATCAATTTAACTAAGAGTCAAGTTTCTGTATAATGTAATGACAAAGGTGAAGAGAACTTCTTTATTAGACTCTCCTTAACACACGGTTCTCTCTGGTGGGTAAATCACTAGTGGAAGGAAGATCTGTGAAGTTCGACAGTCTCTCTAATAAAGAAGTATTTCACCTTTTCCTTCTATATAACTTTATTGGGTGCCGCACTCACAGTTATATTAGGGGATCAATGTCTTTACATCTCCGGAATATTGTTTTCGGAGAGTTTTTCCTGGCTTTTTTGATATTTAAAGTATATTGTCACTTTTCATCCTTCTGTATTATTTGATATAGAAGTTGTTTGGTCTTAAGTTTTCCTTGTATCGCTTTTGTAGTTGATAGTATCTTTAAAGGTAGGAAAAAAGATGTTCCAGCCCGGGATTGAACCAAAGAGCTTGTGTGTGTCAAACACACGTGATAACCATTACACCACTAAATCTTCTTTATACTTGTTGTTATAAAGGGTTATAATAGATATTTTTCTACGAGAAAGGACAACTATCTTCAAACTGTATCAACCGAGAAACTTCGTGGAAAGTATAATTCTTTCTTTTTTCATTATTTTTTTACTATTTAAACATAATCACATTTTATTATTTAAATCTAAGAACTTAGCGAATATAGCCAGGACACACTACATGTTTTATTGTCCGGCACTGGAGAGAGAAATTCTCCATCAAAAGATTGGCTAGGAAAACAAACCTTCATATGTCCTAATGGCAAAAGTAGTAAAAAACAAACCCTTAGCTTTTCACAAATTGTGGACAACAGCACAGACAAAAGTCACAACACAGATGATGAATCCAACTTGAAGAAAGGTTAGTCTTAATCTCCACTTTGAGTAGTTAACTGTTATATTTACTTCTGTATCTGGGAGAATCCTGTATGGGATGAGCGTCCTTAATAAAGGCTTTTTGTTGTTTCCGATCCTTTCGACGAAACAGAGAAGAGGAGGAAAAGTTTACAAAATCCCAACATTTTTATATAATCCAATATATATAATATATGAGGGGGCGCGCGTGGTGGGCAATATTTGTGTGAACATTTTAAGTAGCTCCATCTATCGATCGTTCCGAGAAGTACTCGTCGGTCAGTTCTCCCCGGATTCCAATAAGAGCAAGTTATAAAATGACATCATTCGGGGGGGTGGAAGGAAACAGCTGTCCAACCCTAAGTACTACCACCCACTCCCCTAAAAATTAAAAAAAGTAAAATAATAATAAAAAAAAAGGTAATTTCATTCGGGAGAGGGAGGGAGGGAGCGGTGATATTAAAGCTGACGGAAGCCAATATTCCTTCGAAGGCACCATTAGAGAAACCGGCGAGGCCCGTGAATACGAAACGCCAGCTGTTCCCGCTGCTGGATTAACATAACACGCCCGGTCCCCCAGTATTCATATAGCACCGCAGCGCCGCCAATATCGAAGTTTTATGGTATTTTAAACTTATCGATCGCAGACGAATTTTTATTTATTGAACAGACGACGGTTTATAACCCGCCTTTTTGATCTGATTTGGTGGGATCGATGGGCTGCCATTCTTTTCTTCTTCCGAGAGTGAGGGCTTCTTCTTGTTTTGTTCTTCTTGCGGGCAATGATTTGAAGATTTATTCTTATTGCGTGCAATGGTTTTAAGAATTCTTCGTCTTGCATGAAATTATATGAGAATTTCTCTTTCTTGCGTGTAATAATTTGAAGATTTATTCTTATTGCGTGAATTACTAGAGGATTTCTTTTTCTTGCGTGGAATGATTCAAGGAGGATTTTTCACTTTACAGAAAAATAGCTGTCTAGCTAATATTTGAAACATAGACATGTTTAACAAGAAGAAAAAAAGTAGAAATTAGGAAGTATTAGCGAGGCATGTTCATAGCTTGAAAGTAATTTCATTTGCGATAAGTGGAAGTTTACAGCTTTCTCATCTAAATCCATGAAAATTAAACGCTAGAGCTCTGTAAAGAATAAGCGGGGCGTCACTTTGCTTCAAGTCAAGGAGGAAAAATGTCGTGAAACAGATATCTGGCGTTTGAAATCATCGCCTGGGTTGTAGTTTCCATAGGATTCCTTCATTCTCCCCGGAGTCGATTGGAAAGAAGTTGACCTCGTAGTTTGATCCGATGTAACTCTTCAAAAGATCGAAAATATCTTTATTGATACCTCTCTCAGTCAATTTGGTTAAGGAATGAAAACAATAACCTAAAATAATACATTCCTCTACCAATATTCCAATTGGCTGAATGCCAAACTTTATCAAAGTATAACACATATGTTGTTTACACCTTGAGAGAGGTTGACGTTCAGCCAATCGAAATATTGGTAATCAATTCTGTAATCCCATATAAGTTTGTTTTTATTCAAAATTTTAAGAGTGGATTGCTTCATTTTAAGTATATACACAATAAATTTTTAAAAAATGTTAAATATATTTATGCATATTTACATATATCAGCTCAGGAATAGGCTGACAATATTGTCGCGGAGATAAATAAAGCAAGGGCAAATTTGGGAATAAATAATTTATTATAAGGGGTATTTATAGGGAGGGAGAGAGAGAGAGAAAGTACAACTTACTCCATGTTGAAGATTATCCTAATGTCCGCCACCGTCCCGTTTTCCTTATTTACCGATCAGGGGGGATCATGTGGTCCCCCCCGGGGTCCAGGGATGATTGACAGGTGTCCCATCTGGATGGAGCTACTTGACAATATTATCTCGATCGTCAAACTATGCAACCTTTTCACTTATTTACATATATTACTTCCGTTCATATAGTGATTGGTTGATGGTAGAGCCTGCACAGCACTGACAGAGACCAAGTACTCGAAACGCGTACGCTGTCATTTTTTCTCGCTTTCCACAGAACTATTTGTACACTAATTATTCTGAAAGTAAAAAAAAAATTAACGCTTAATAGATGTTTATATTCCAATAGATGGTCTTAAATCTTGGAATCTTGGCAATGTTTAAATTTATCGTAAGATGGTATTGCCATTTTAATTCTATGTTTTTTACTTTCCCTCTTTTATTATTGTTATTATCATAAGTTAGGGAGCTAAAGGTCAATAACCTGAGATAATGTAATCAATAAATCTCCAAGTTCTCCAAGGAATGGTGCTCCGATAATAAAATATAATTCCCGCGGGTGACATTAATAAATTCATAAATAATTTATCCAGGCGATGTCGGGGAGAAATTGGATGCAAATTGGCCTGGAGACAAAGTATTGATGGAGTGAGTGCTTAATGGGAAACGGATCGTTCTTTGATTTGCTGGACTGTTGAAATGTACGCCTCTCTTTCCTTAATGGTTCTCTTATTTTTATTAAGATTATCATGATTGTTTTTTATCCATTCGTCGCGGGATGGATTTGATGGGAGCCTGCGTTTAATAGGGAGATTGCTTTGATATTCCTTTAATGTAAATCTCTTCTGTGATATACGTTGAAAATTTCTTGACCATTGACTTGCGATTTGGTATTTAAATGAGGAGATTCTTTTTATAATCAAAGAGAATTTAGGTTTTTATTATTATTTTTTGTGTATAGATGTTTGTATATGTGGTTGAATTCCTAATGTCAATAGATTAACGAATTAACGAAATTAATTATTAACGAAAGTGCATAAATTGTATATGTAAATAGGTGTTTGTGTAGATTTTATGTGTGTGGAGATATTGATTTAAGGATTGTGAATGATACTCTGTAATATTTGCATAACTAGGCTTCCACAGACTTTCTCGCGCAGTCTATTTACTGTGGTGTAGATAGCAGGTAGGGACAGTCCTTCCTGGAGTTGTACGGCGGCCACTGACTCAGTCCATCTACTGTAGTTAGCTGTGGTGTAGATAGCAGGTAGGGACAGTCCTTCCTGGAGTTGTACGGCGGCCACTGACTCAGTCATCTACTGTAGTTAGCTGTGGTGTAGATAGCAGGTAGGGACAGTCCTTCCTGGAGTTGTACGGCGGCCACTGACTCAGTCCATCTACTGTAGTTAGCTGTGGTGTAGATAGCAGGTAGGGACAGTCCTTCCTGGAGTTGTACGGCGGCCACTGACTCAGTCATCTACTGTAGTTAGCTGTGGTGTAGATAGCAGGTAGGGACAGTCCTTCCTGGAGTTGTACGGCGGCCACTGACTCAGTCCATCTACTGTAGTTAGCTGTGGTGTAGATAGCAGGTAGGGACAGTCCTTCCTGGAGTTGTACGTTGGCCACTGACTCAGTCCATCTACTGTAGTTAGCTGTGGTATAGATAGCAGGTAGGGACAGTCCTTCCTGGAGTTGTACGGCGGCCACTGACACAGTCCATCTACTGTAGTTAGCTGTAGTGTAGATAGCAGGTAGGGACAGTCCTTCCTGGAGTTGTACGGCGGCCACTGACTCAGTCATCTACTGTAGTTAGCTGTGGTGTAGATAGCAGGTAGGGACAGTCCTTCCTGGAGTTGTACGGCGGCCACTGACTCAGTCCATCTACTGTAGTTAGCTGTGGTGTAGATAGCAGGTAGGGACAGTCCTTCCTGGAGTTGTACGGCGGCCACTGACTCAGTCCATCTACTGTAGTTAGCTGTGGTGTAGATAGCAGGTAGGGACAGTCCTTCCTGGAGTTGTACGGCGGCCACTGACTCAGTCATCTACTGTAGTTAGCTGTGGTGTAGATAGCAGGTAGGGACAGTCCTTCCTGGAGTTGTACGGCGGCCACTGACTCAGTCCATCTACTGTAGTTAGCTGTGGTGTAGATAGCAGGTAGGGACAGTCCTTCCTGGAGTTGTACGTTGGCCACTGACTCAGTCCATCTACTGTAGTTAGCTGTGGTATAGATAGCAGGTAGGGACAGTCCTTCCTGGAGTTGTACGGCGGCCACTGACACAGTCCATCTACTGTAGTTAGCTGTAGTGTAGATAGCAGGTAGGGACAGTCCTTCCTGGAGTTGTACGGCGGCCACTGACTCAGTCCATCTACTGTAGTTAGCTGTGGTGTAGATAGCAGGTAGGGACAGTCCTTCCTGGAGTTGTACGGCGGCCACTGACTCAGTCCATCTACTGTAGTTAGCTGTAGTGTAGATAGCAGGTAGGGACAGTCCTTCCTGGAGTTGTACGGCGGCCACTGACTCAGTCCATCTACTGTAGTTAGCTGTGGTGTAGATAGCAGGTAGGGACAGTCCTTCCTGGAGTTGTACGGCGGCCACTGACTCAGTCCATCTACTGTAGTTAGCTGTGGTGTAGATAGCAGGTAGGGACAGTCCTTCCTGGAGTTGTACGGCGGCCACTGACTCAGTCCATCTACTGTAGTTAGCTGTGGTGTAGATAGCAGGTAGGGACAGTCCTTCCTGGAGTTGTACGGCGGCCACTGACTCAGTCCATCTACTGTAGTTAGCTGTGGTGTAGATAGGGACAGTCCTTCCTGGAGTTGTACGGCGGCCACTGACTCAGTCCATCTACTGTAGTTA